TATATATTTTTTCTCATGCTTTTGCAAATATCAATTCGTATAAATGACATTTGCAGATTGGATGTTACAAGATGACAGTGAAGGAGTCGCGTTTACCATTGCAAATAGCTCTGTTGAATATTCAAATGATACCGTTGTACTCTCTTCAGATTTGACAATACCAAAATTGAAAGTCAAAAATTTGAACGGGATAAACATTGATGAATTGATCAACGATTTGTTCATCATGAATCAGAATCAGAAAATTAATGGTATAACAATTCAAATATAACAATTTGTTATTTTTAATTGTATTAACTATTTGCAGAACTCGACAAAAACATTTTGCAGCGGACATTTTATAATAACAGTTTTCTTATTTTATCTTGCAGGTACAATCACGTATAAGGATTCAGTGCAGATTGTAAATCTTACGACGCAATTCATGAATGGTTTTTCCTCTGATGAACTCATGACAACAACGACAAATCAGAGCTTTGATTATTTTTATGCAAAAATATTACATATTGAAGATTTGTATGCAGAAACAATTAATGGAGTGCCAGTTAAAGAAGCTGCAAGAAAATCTCGCAAAAATGTTATTAAAGGTAATTTTTTAAATGATTTGACCCATCAATATTATAATAGTTTTAAATTTAAGTTAATGAATAATAAATATACTTATTAATATATATTATAAATATATTATAATGTTACATAATAATACTATAATATAAGCTTATTTAATTTAGTAAAATAATTTCAATCATTCAACTAAAGTTTCATTCATTCATTTATTTCATTCGCTAAAAGTAATTACATTATTAATCAAATGTTTTTATTCAATCTCAAAAATTTTTATTTTTTACAAAAAAAAGGCTTTCTTTAATACTATATAATATTTTATATAATATTATAAATTAAAGTTATTATTATATAATATTTTGCCTAATATTTTTCAATTTCTTGTATCATTTAAGGCAAATTAAAATTAGCGAATCTTCGTGTCACCGAGAATTTAGTGATCGACGTAAACGCATCTATGATAAAAATACCTGACCAATTCCTTCAGATTTATGAAAATGTCACAATACTGGGTGATCTACACCTTCAAAATCTTAAGGTTGAAAATTCAGCGGCGCTTTTTGTGGAAGACCTCCCGGTCAACATAAAAGATATATTCGATAGATATTGGACAAAATCTACCAATCAAACCATCACTGAAAAGATCACTTTGGAAGGCGGTTTTACTATCGATAGACTCAATACAAAATATTTGAACGGTTTCGCGGAAAGTGATTTTCTGTATACTACGATGAAGGAGATACCAAGCGATTTCACAAATCTGCGCTTTGAGAATTTCCACGTCGATGATTTCTTCCTTGAAAATGGTTTCAATGGCAGCTTCTTTGAAGTCAAACCGGATGCAATAACAATTCGAGAAAAGCTGCATGTGCAAACACTCCAAGCGAAAGATATCATTACTCTGAGTTTTAATGGTGTCACTGTGGAAAACATCATGAACAAAACTTGCGTGAATTTCTCAGGAACCGTGGAACTTCCCATTGCTCGAGCACGTCGCGTGTTCGTCGACAATCTCGATGTTCGTTTTCTCAATCATCACGAGGTCTTCTTTGGGGATGGGCTTCGCTTCGACGACGATCATCAGTTGTCAACTTTACAAGTACCAGAGATCCACATAGAAAACTTGGAAGTGGAAAAGTTGAACGGATTCGAGATGAATCTTCTATGGCGATTGGGAAATCTGACGAGTTCTGATCTGAACGATATTGTCATCGATGGCGACTTGACATTACGGAATCTGATGGTCGCTCAAGTGAACGGGCAATCAACTGAGAGTTTCTTGGAGGAACTGTCGCAGAATGACATCGTGATAAAGTCGGAAAGAGATATTGAATATTTGGTTGTTCAGAACATAACATTGGAATCTCTTCGTGGATGGAAATTCGATGATATGATCGCCAACGTTCTCTCAAAGTCAAGGGAACAAACGATAACAGGACACTTCTCGGCTCATGTTATCACCTCCGACAACGTCACAATAGACTTCATTAATGGACAAAATACCTCGCAACTAATGTGGATAGACGAGCCTCTGATGATTACGAACAATGTAACGTTCACCGATCTGTTCGTCGAAGGTGACGTGATGACTTCAAAGATGAACGGACGTGGCGTTCGTGAGGTATAGAAACAAAGATTTCGCAATATTTTAGTCTGACTTGATCATTAAATATTGGGTAATTAATTATCGATCAGTAATTCGCTCTTCTGAAACTTGAACTTTTAAATATTTCCAAAAAATGGCAAAAGAATTTAATTGAAATTAGATATAATTTCTTAGAATATTTTCAAATGTAGAATTTTTTAATTTATTTGTAAGATTTTTTAAAAATATTTGTTTTATTTTCTATTATAGTTGTACGACAGTTTATTGTACATTCCTGCAAAAAATATCGATCTTCTGACAGTAGATAAAAATATTTCCTGGAACACTCCTTTGAATAGCTTTACTTCTATTTCCAATCTGTTAAATAACGCTGTGACCAAAGATAAAGAGCAAGTTATCATGGGCAACGTGATCTTTACGAAGGATGTACGTGCGTGGGCAGTTAACGCTAATTACAAAGTTGTCGAGGAAATTAACCATATAGTATCGGACGTCGTGATTGACGATGGAGAAGTCATTGAAATTAAAGGACAGAAAATCTTCAAGAAGGATTTTGTTGTGGATAGTTTAACGGTGAATGGCGATCTGGGCATTGCCAATATCAATAATGTGAACATCCTCAAGTTCAACGATTCTGTCGTTAGACAGAATAATGAAGACACTATTGTTGGACCATTGACATTCCTCACGGAGGTCAAGGTCGAGAAGCTCTATGTGAACGACACTGATCTCAACGCGTCCATCAACGGCGCGGTGCGTTCCAGCGATGTTATGCCAGACAATATCATTTTCGAGGAGCTCAATGTATTGAATGATGTGTATCTGCAGAATTTTGACGGGATAGACTTTGATAAGTTCGTGAATGACCGTGTCACGCTTAGTGGAGATCACAATATCTCCTGCGACGTGAGATTTAATGGTATCGTTACAGTAACAGGTAAATGATTGGCAACCAACAATTATTTAAATTTCAGAAGTTTATTTGAAGTTAATTTGATGGTACTGTTTTTTATTTTAATTTCTAATTTAAATTTAGCGAATTTCAATAAAACTCTTGACCAATTTTTATCAATATTATAAAATATAAAAATATAAAAAAAAGATGAGTTTTAAAAATCATGAAAAATACGTAGAAAATATTAACATTTTTTTATCCGTCATATTTCAGGCAACGCGAATATAAGGAAGATTAATGGAATTTTCCCATCTGAGTTTGTGTTAAATGACATTGATGAAATGCAGATAATAAATGGAGTAAAAACTTTTACGAACGATCTGATAGTCGATGGAAATGTTATTTCACCACGAATTAATAATGTCGATATAATGAAAGAATATAATGACGGCGTACAAAACACCGATGAAGATGTTGATATCTATGGAGATCTCGTTAGTACAATATCTAAAGAATTTCTAAACTTTAATTAAATTGTGAAGAAAATCTGCCAGGAAACTTCAAATTATATGATTAAAGCAAGTGCGAACTATCGCAATTTGACAATGTTACAAATATTCACAAAATATTTGAGTTAATTTTATTGTTTAACAATTAAAATATGAATTTTAACATTTAGAAAAGTAATATGTAATGAAAAAGATATTATTTTAATGCTTAAAAACTTATATTGTATTTGTATCTTATGGTTTGCATTTTTCTTAATTATCTCTTCTATCAGGTTTTCAAGGCTGATGTACGAATAAAAAATATAAATATTTCCGGTTTGGTGAATGGTGTGAACCTGCATTTTGCTAGTAGCAATTATAAAAATATAAATGAAACTCGCGAGAATATGGAGAAACATTGGAGAGTAATCGAGCAGAATATCGAGTACATCTCGCAAGTATCCGAAACCTTGCGCAATGTGTTTTTCTATCTAGAGGCGGAGGAAGACTTGGAGATACCTGGAACCAATGTCAGCGAAATCGATGTAGTACAATTCGATAAGAGCACAGTTAGATTGAACATGTACAGCGAGCAGTCCGGAAGATTTTGCGGGCTGCCAGATGATTGTTTGTGTATGTATCAGTCCGTAATTGAACTCGTTGAGGTCAACTATGTGAACAGTACTATGCGAAAGTGGCAAGTGAATCCCGGAGAGATCGTAAAAAACTTTCACGATCCGGTTGAGATGTTTGGCTTGAATGTGATAACGAATTCTGTATCCAGCAGCAAAGAATGCACTTCGACGGGAACCAGACAAGAATACACTACGATTTCCTTGATGAAATCTGAAAATCTTAAAATGAATCATGAAGACGTTTTTAATAAGATAGAAGGATATTTGAAAGATGCCGAGATCTTTAAGCATGAGGGTATGCGCAACACGTTAGAAAATCTGTCATTAAAATTATAACAAAGTTAATTTCGGATATTAATGTAACATTTAATCTGCAGATGATGTATACGTGATGCTGGCGATATATTATGATAAAGTACATGCAACGCATCGCACAAATTCCTTGCTTTATAGAGTACATACAGGAAACGCAACGTTAGTTCAGGAAATTCTTACGGATGGTGCTTGGTCCATCAAAATCTTCCAGATTAATCATTATGAAGTGTTCCTGCTCATTGGTTGCTTTGGCGAATCTTCAGAATCCTTATTATACAGATTCGACCCAATAGCACGAAAGGTACAATAATTGCTCACAATCAGATAATTTAGAATGATACTAGAGCCGTTTGTAAAATTTAAAAATTAATTTAAATATTTAATATAAAAATAATGTATAAAGTTAATTAAAATTTGTAAATTTCATGCCAAATTAATATTATCTTATTAAATAAAAAAAATCCTTTTTCTTTAAATCTAGTTTGAACATCTCAGAACATTCGCAAGCAGAAGTCGTTACGTAAAAAGTTTATCACAAGGAAAAGATCATTTTATTCTGTTAGACAATCCTGATACAAATGCTGTGAATATATACAAATATGATTATACGTCTCAAAACTTTCATAGCTATCAAAGCATTTTTCATACCTATCAAATCAACGGAATTGAATGCTTCTATACTGACGGTATGATTATCGAAATAATAAATTAATTAGAAGATATACATATTTTTATCATCTAAAACTCGAAAAATTAGCGATTCATGGCTAATATATTATGGTTAAGATACCATCTATTTATAACCTATTTATGATAAAACTTATTATTTCATACAGATTTTGGTAACAGCGATGTGTTTGTGATCGTTACGACAGACAGCGGGCAATTTTATATTTACGAATATATGTTTGCCGGGGTAAATATCTTTCTATATGTCTCTTGTATGTCGATAAAAAGAACAAACTTACTCACACAATTTCACACAATGTAAAGTGCAACTCACAAAATGTAAAGTGCAATCGAAGTAAATCTAAGTTATGTAATCGTAATTGATATTTTCAGAAATTCCAAATGAAACTGCAACATACTGTGGATGGTTTACGAACAATGATGCCATTCTACTATATGGATCGTCATTATATCTTAGCTGGTACGGACAACAACAATATGATTTTCCGAATTGTAAAACAGGGGCCACATTAATATGATAAATATTAAAGATTAGCAAATGAATTTTGTATATATGCGCGCATATAATGATGAATATATTTATCATATTCAACTTTTATATTATAATGTTATTTTTTCGAAGTCGATATAAAAAAATCATATACTAATTACTTGACTGGTCAAGATTATAACATCGTGATATTAATTATTATTATTTATTCTTATCTTTGTATAAATTATTTCTAATTAATTAATTATTATGTTATATATTAATAATTAATATATTAATTAATTATTGTGTTATAATTTTCGAATTAATAATGTAATATAATAATGATGTAACGTAATAATTTACAAATGCATTTGTTATTTAATTTGCATATAACATCTTGCTATTTATTAGTTATACACTATTCTTGTTATTTATTATATATCATACAAAACGTTGTTGAAAGTAATAATTGCGAATAAAGTTTGTATAATAGAATAGAAAATCTAATTATTATATAATCATTATATCATCTATGAGAATTATTAATATAAAAAAATATAAAATATACATACATACATATAATATTTTTATATTCTGATTTTATTAATATATCAATATCTATATAATTATTTTTTAATACCTTTCTCATGTGTTTCGATTGTATTTTTTATAACGATGGCGCAGCGCAACCGCGCCAATGAAAAACTCAAGGGAATTCGTCTCATTCTCACTCTGTCGAGCGACGTTTATCAACCATACAACTTCCGGCCGATAAAACACTGTACCGTGTTAAATGAGTTTCCTATTTATTGAAAATACGGCTGTATACTCGATACCTTTCATCTATTCCGCGAATTTTAATCTTCAAAGCCTGAGAACGCGAGTCGCGTGCACCGCCAACTTTCGCATGGCAGAAGCCATTGAAATTTGCCGCCGGTGCGCGGTGCGCGAGCTGGCGTCGTAGTGAAGTAAGCCGCTTCGACAGACTTCGAACCGCTACGTGAGCGCGAGCGGAGGCTTATCTCCGTCTGTTCCGTTCGGTGCCCTTCGTTTCTGCCCCGAGTCGACCGTCGATCGAGATAAAGGTGCGACTTCCTTGCGTTTACTCGCGGCGCGTCCAATCCCTCGTGTCGCTGCCGCCGTCATTGCCGTGTCTCTTCGTGTCAGCTGTCACGAGCGACGACGTCCACGAGAATCGGTATTTTTTGATGTCTCTTAGGTGAAACGTGTGTCGTACGTTTACGGCTGGACATCGCGATTGGGAAATAATCAAAATCAAAGTCCGATAGAGAATGTCTTTATTCTTCGCTCTGATTTTCGAAAGAGCATTCGCAGAAACTTTTTGGTTATATTGTTCTTTTTTGGTTATGTTGACCGACGATGAATTAGCGCAATCCGATAATTGATCACATTCGGAACATCTCTGATCGAATTCGGATTAATTTAATCAGTTTGTGGTTGATTTAATTGGCAAACTTGTTTAGACTAGAATTTTCAACTATACGATTCTGTATTCTTAATTTAAGGCCTTTTGCATATGCTTAACGATAGAAAATTAATAATTCTGTGTTAACAAAATAGTACAGTTACTTGATAAGCTAATCATTGATTAGTTTATTAAGTTAATTGAATGTTAAGGATAGTTAAGATCTTTATATTTTTCTAACTGCTGATGGTTGATTAAGTAAATTGCGTTTTCAAGATTTCCTCTCATCACTATGTTTTTTTAATTTTTCTTAATTACATTTTAATTGCTATAATTATAGAATAATATAGTATACTTGATATTTTATCTTGATATTTGATGTTTGGTATATAACTCGATCGAATTACATCTTGAATATCTTTGCAGGAACATTTTTCAACTGAACCCTAATGGCTGTCAAAGGATTAGTAGCATCAATTGTCAAATTTTTGACAGACCAATTGCAAGATGGTGATATAACTGCTGACTCGCGTGAGAGTTTGGAAGTAGCAATCCAGTGTCTAGAGAGTGCTTACAATGTGCAAGCTTCTGATGCTCCAGCAAATGTAAATCTGTATCAAATTTATAAAAATGCAGTGGAGAATGCTGCGCCAGTTCTAGGTCCAGAAGCTACACCAGAAGCAAAGGCTGAAGCAGAAAGATTGAAAAACGAAGGCAATGCACTCATGAAACAAGAAAAACATCACGAAGCGCTTGCCAATTATACAAAGTACTTGCATAATTTATCTATTAATTTCTTATAAATATTGTTTTACTTAATGTTTGCTCATTCGCTTACAGGGCAATAGCATTAGATGGTCGCAATGCAGTATACTATTGTAATAGAGCCGCCGTTCACAGCAAGCTTGGTAATCACACTCTAGCCATCAAAGACTGTAATACGGCACTCTCTATCGATCCATCATACAGTAAGGCATATGGTCGATTAGGTTTAGCATATTCTAGTTTGGAAAGGCATAAAGAAGCTAAGGAAAGTTATGAAAAGGCTTTAGCGATGGAACCAGACAATGAGAGTTATCGAAACAATTTGCAACTGGCAGAAGAGAAATTGGCTCAGTTAGGTGTTAATCAGTCTTTGCCTAATTTACCTGGCATGGATCTGAGCGCCCTTCTTAGCAATCCCTCTCTAATGAATATGGCACGTCAGATGTTATCTGACCCAGCTATGCAGAATATGATGTGTAATCTCATGTCTGGCAATGTAGAAGAAGGCGGTCGTATGGAATTACTCATAGAAGCGTAAGTTTAATTGAATGTAATAATAAATTTCAGCATCAACTTTGGTAAATCATGTCTATGTTAATATGTGCTCCATATAGAATAATTTATATATTTTTGTGCGTAAATATTTCAGAGGACAACAATTAGCGCAACAAATGCAAAACGCGAATCCTGAATTGATTGAATCATTGAGACGGCAAATGGGCGGCAATCCAAACGATCCGGAACCACCGCAACAAAATTAAAATATATCTGGTTGTGTGATAGATGGACATGAACATTTATGGCCGACTTTTTTTCTTACTCGTAGTTACAGTGCATTGTATCGTTTTCTAAAATGCCGCGAGACAAGATTTATAGCTTCGATGATAATTCTATCATCATATCTAAAGCGATAATACGTATAGAATTCATTTTATAGCTTGCTCATTACGAGTGTCAATATCGGGCCTCTTTCCTCTTCCTCATCTTCTCTTTGGCTATGTACAATTTTTGATAGCATACTTGCAAAGGTTGATGCAACATGACAAGATGTTTTATAAATGCCACGACGATTTGAGTAATTGTAATAATTGATATTCCACTCTACCGTATCACCCAGGGCATTATTTCTAGATTGTGTGTTATATTATGAATACGAAATTATATACACCATTGTTTATTATATCTCGAATGAATAATTCAGTACACATTTCAATTGACACGAAATACATACAATATACAGATATATATGTGTATATATATATATATATATATATGTATGTATATACACACTATATATATATATATATATATATATATATATATATATATATATACATATATATATCACACACACACACACAAATTCGTGATATCAAATGAGTCGTAAACTGTTATTTAATATTTTATTGGTATCGTATTCCACGTATATTGTACGAAATAGAATATTTCTGTCAATCGAGTTTTATGTAAACACGCAATCATACCCATGTTGATCAAAATCTATAACTAAACGCAGACTTTTGCATATCAGAATTTACATCCTCGTACATTTCGAGAATGTTTTTTTAGTACGTTGCATATCGAGAACAAAGGTAACGTGCTGACTAACAAATTGTAATAAAAATTGCATCATGAAGAAACTACTCGGATTTCTTTTTTATTATTTCACCGAATTTCTTCTATCACGATTGGAAAATTATTAATTATATATTCATACACAAGCTTTGAAATATAAATAAATAATAGAAGATAAATCAAAAAAGCAAAGAATTAAAGCTAGAAAAAAAGGCTCTCGACAAACACGCATGTTTCTTACGCGTGGTAAATAGTTGAAAAACTATTAAAAAATAAAATCTTTTTTTTTTATTTTCTTTCGAGAGGAATGATTTTGATATGATCGAGAATTAGGAGACAGAATAAGCAGGAACGTACACACGTATTCTACTCGTGCGGTACACTTTCTATTTGCAAGGAGAAAGAAAGCTCATTCATCGTGAGGGGAAGTGCGGCTTATCGGCGATACATTCGTAACATTAGATGAGCGCTCGCTACGCGTTGATAATCAACGGATACGGTTTCTCCATCGGGCAGGATGCGCATATGTAAATTCCATTAATGGCCGCATTCCACGTATTTCACGGGAACGGCCGGCCGAGCATGAGCGCCAATTCCACGTGCGTCATACGGTGACATCATTCTTATTTGGCTTGGCTGCGTTCTCTCGCGCGCGCACGTGCACACATATGCACGTGCAAACAGCGTGTGCCAGTTATATCCGTGATCGGTACACCTCGAGCATTATCCGCGATTAAAAGCGGATCATTCATAGGTTTCTTTTGGATCAGCTGACTGTCAAAGTCTGTTCACGAAGAAAGCGCAGCCTGTAGAAAGCGTTGTGAGCAGTGGGAAGAAAAAGATCAATGAAGGCACGTTCATCGATTTTTAAAGCGCGTACAACAAAGAATTCCAAACTGCTCGCAAGGCGCAAACGTATTTATTTGAATTCTTACTCCTTCGTGTCGTTGTCGACGCGAGAGATCTCGCGTCCTTGAACTCTCGCGAAAGAAGAGAATAAAAAGGAGTCTAATGCTCGAGACCACTTTATTTCGCGGACAATTAGGAAGGGAAATTGTTGACGCCGGCATTTATTTTATTCGGCCGATAAGCCGGTTAATGATACGCTACGTGCACGCATTCACCGCACGTACGCACGCGTCAACGTGAAATTAGTTCACTGCAAAGAGAGAAAACAAAAATATTCTGCGCGATTGTAAAAGTGTATTTCCTATATGCATATATTAGTTTTCTGTCTATGATATAATTGTTACATGGAATTTCTAATTCCTTTCTCTTATAACGATAGAAAACTTTCAAGACAATAGATTTATAAAATTGTATCTTTCTTATAACGCGATGAGCAATTTATTTCTATTCTTTATGCTAGAAATCCGTGCAATGTATTTCTAATATTTCCATTTTCAAGTCTACGATAACGTTACTTTAGTTAGCAAAAAATTATTTTAAATTTTTATAAATTTTCAGATGCTGAAAACGATGCCACGAGCTAAATTTTTCCGCACGTTAGACTTTAAAAATAATTGAGATTTAATATGCAAAATGGCTTTTTTGCAACATTTAAAGATTTTTTTTTTTATAAAAAAGATTAACGCTATCTTAAAATTCTGATCATGAATGTATTGTTCACTCTTTATAAATTAAATTTTTTTTGTTTTAATATTTTAATTTTTAGACATGTTATGAAGAATTTTAATACAGAGTTTTGCTAAAATAGCATGCTATCTTAACAAAAATCTGTATCAAATTTTTAACATTTTAATTAAAAGGAAAATATCAAAATAAAAAAATACACTTTATATGAAATGAAATTACATTCACGATTTTGATCACAGATTCAAGATATTGTTGGTCTTTTTTATAAAAAAAACCTTTAAATATTACAAAAAATAAAATTTCATTTGTTTCGTATTAAACTTTAATTTTAGAAACTCGTCAGCTAGAAAAGTTTAACTTGTGGCATCGTTTTCAGCATCCAAAAATCTATAAGAAGCATCTTGTCCAGTTCAAAACAATTAAAAAAAATATTTTTGTAAACCAATAATGTTATCCTAAAACGCAAATGTCTTTTAATATTAATCTCGGTTTACTTTTCATCTTTCTCTTAGAATTGAAAAAAGATAAAATCCAAAATTAAACCAAAATTAAAACTGTATTGGGAGAATGGACAAAGGAGAAACGCCATTGTAAAAAATATCAAAATACGATTTTCGATCTCCTAAAATTAGACGAATTTCGCGCTGCGTGCACGTCGATAGACAGTCGATAGACAGTACAGCGTATGCAGAAACACGATGGAGGAACGGCCGTTATTTACATACATTTTCCAACCCTTTCCATCATCCACCCACAAACGGCAGTGGCGGTGCGGCGCAGCGATACGAAGCGAGGAGCGTGAAATGTGCGCAAGTTTCTTCCACAGATCCGTGACGTGCGACGCGCCGGTGGCGCGTGATTCGTCAAGTTTCGGAAGCGTATGCAGGGCCGAAGAGGCGCGGCGAGCGCGGGCACCGCCCGGCCCCGAAAACGATGGCGAATTTCCGGATCGATTTCGTTAAGTCGTTTCGCCTTTTGCCGCGCCTCTCGCGATCGATGGCCACGGCTTGATGCTCGCAAGATAATTTTTACGTCCGCGTGAATGACGAAGAATCGGTGCGAACATACACCGCCCACAAGAAGTACGTTTTTCTCATTTACACTTTCTGCACCTTTCCCGCTCTTTTCCTCGCAATATCTGACGCATTCTTTTTCAAGTTTGAACAGAAGATGCAACACGACGCAGAACGGAAAAATCTATATAATATGTTAGAATTTAACAATGATTTTGGCATCTGATTATGCGAATAAAATTTATTTTTATTACGTACGCGCTTAAACAAAATGTTTTTTTTTGCATAATTACGATCGATCGATTAATCATTATTCTTGTTATATTGAAGGAGTTATCACGTAAGCAGCTAATAATAGTGTTGTATCGCAGATCAATATCCATCCAATTTAACAAATGTTATGGACGTCAATCCGGTTTCGCGTGAAGCCGGCTCGAGCACACGTCATGTTGACGGTACCGGCGCTCGGGCGCGCTCGACACGTCCCTGAGACAAGCCGAAGTTGCCACCGGCCGCAGTCTCTCGTCCCCACCACGCGGGCCGACCGTCGCACACTCAACAGATCGAGGTGTGGCCACCGAAGGCAGCCATTTTCTTGACTTTCTGTCGCTTAAGATTTCAGGTAAATACGCAAATATATCTTAAATTAACGCCGGCCGAAGTGGTGCGAGGGTGCGTGGTGCGCCGTGCGTGCGAGCGTCATAAACGTGTTCGAGCGCGTTGGAAATCCCGCCGGGACGTCGGACTGGGTACGGTACTAAAAGAGGGAAAAAAGGAAGGAATCTCCTCCTCCGTGAGTCGAGTGAGTGAGAGAGAGAGAGAGAGAGAAAGAAAGAGAAAGAGAGCGCGCGCGAGACGGGGATAAATAGAGGGAGAAAGAGAGAACAGGTCGCGCGAGGAGGCCCCGAGGGAGTGCCATGCGTCGCGAATCTCGTCAGCTCGGTATCGTCGCGCGGTGAGGTGCGCTTTAAACACGGTGGCTCAACTCAGCTAAGCTCAACTCAACTCAATTCAATTCAATTCAATTCAATTCAGTTCAGTTCAGTTCAGTTCAGTTCGGTTCAGTTCAGCTCGATTCGACTTGACTCGGCGTTCTCGTGTACTCGCGCGTCGTTCACACGATTCGTGTTTAGTCTACGTCCACGTCGTCATCGTTATCTTCATCGCCGTTGCCGTCACCGCCGCTGCTGTTAAGCGGCAGTCCGTACGACGGATCTCTTGGAATGCTTTCGGGCTCTACCTGACACTACGTGGCCGTTTAATCCAGTAAGTAAATGCCTCTCTCTCTCTTTTTCTCTCTCTTTCGCTCGGTCTCTTTCATTCATTCTCTTTTCACTATCGCGACGACCTCTCTTTCTCTCTGTCTCTCTCTCTCTTTCTCCTCCGCCCGCGTATCCTCCTGTTACGCCACAGCACGCACTCTCACATCGTTGTTTTTACAGGCTTCTTTTTTTTCTTCTCTCCGGTGTACATTCCGGGTTGGAAAAATCGCGAGTGAAGTTAAAGGGAAACACCCCTCGTGCTCATCTTCGCCTCACCTCACCTCGCCTCGCCTCGCCTCGCCTCGTCTCGTCTCTCGACCGGGCAGTCTCCCCTTTCTCCCTCTCCGGAATCATGATTGTGGCTGATCACGATTTGATTGGCGACGTCTCGCCTTTGTGACAGCGCTCAATCGTGCCGGATATCGCCTGACGGCGACGGCAACACGTCGACGCGTTCGCTCCCCGCTACTCCGCCCTGCGTAAACAAATTCCGAGGTGCGTGCGCGCTTTTGACGTGACGCGATCGCGCGAACGTGTTCAGCATCGCCGGGAAGTCGTTTCCTTTTGGCCGTTCGTGCTCCATTTCTCACGCGCATGGAAATCCGGGGGAAAATTTGTGCGTCGGCCCAACTCGGCCGCCGTCGGCAGTCAATCAACGTGACCGACCTTCGCCACTGCACAGCCGGGAGAAGAGAGAAGGAAAAGGAAAGAGCGGAAAAAAGAAAGAGGAAGAATTGGGTTGCTGAAAGGAATGCGCTTCTGGATTTCCCCAAGGCCTGTTACTCTCGATCGCACTTTCTGCACCTCGTCTCCTTTCTCCGTCCCGTCGCGGTGCGCGCGAGGGTGCAGAAAAGTACAGATAGAGCGGACGGTGGAACGCCGAACGTCCGTGATATCGGTGGCGTCTCCCGAGAATTCGCGTCATCGTTAGCGTCTCCTGAGCACGCGTCATCGATGGCGTTCTGAGTATCCGCCACGAAAGTATCTATATCTTTCCCTTTTTCTCTCGCATGCCCGCGCTCCTCTCGCTCTTTCTTCCGTACTCTTCGACCTTGGCCGTCGCGCGCTATCCGTCCTCGTCACGATAAAAAGTATAGGTTAGTTTAGCCGAGAGGCGTACTCGTTAGGTCTCGCTTAGACTAGTTTACTTCTTTCAACTCCATTTCTTTCTCTTATCTTTCGTTTCTTTCAAAATAACATTTCAAGTTCGACAAGTGTGAGAAAAGAGCACGACTGAGACTCAAGTCCCTTTTAACTCTGCTTCTCTCTCTCTCTCTCTCTTCTCTTCTTTTCTCTTTTCTCTCGTCTCTTCTCTTCTCTCTCGTCTCTCTACTTTATCAAACCGCGAGTACGTCTTTCTTTTGTTTCAAGTACAGAGGGTGTAATGAGTGACAAGTGCGATTAAAAGGAACACACTTCCCCGAGCTAGCAATGTTCTCGTCCTCGTAGAAGAGGCGCTTGGCAACTGGATTTAGGGGTCATCCGAGGTGACTGCT